AAGGTCAGCTCGCTTGGGCAGGAGGCAACGTCGATGGCTAGCGAGTCAATGAGCTGGAGGGAAATAGATCAGAAAACACAAATATTTAATGTGAGGAAGAAAAACTGGAAATCGATACGATCTGGGAAGATGTGAGCGTGAATCGCAGGCATTTGCTACGTGATTGAGAGGCCCGAAGGCCCGGACGCGCTTTCTGGAGGCCGAGCTGCTGATGCGAGTCCCTCCTAAAACGAACGGACTCCGTCCCAGCAGAGAGCAGCGCGTGGCAGATACGTGCAGGGAGCTCGGGGACAAGCACTTAAGGTGGGGGAGAGACGGCACTACCTCCTTAAACAGAGAGAAAAAGCACTGGGCCGAAACGCGAGCTGGCCCAGCCAGGCGGCATACGCCCAGCCTGGGGCGCAGTGCGGAGAGCGGGCGTTGACCTGGGTTCAAGCCCCTAACTCCAGCTCTGCCCTCACTGGTGGGGCTGCTGGGGACCCCCGTCCCCGCATCCGTACCGCCTCTGCCTCGCACCTGCATGGCCCAGTGCCCACACATGATCAAATCCACGGCCATCAGCAGTGGTCCGTCCCCTGCTCACCGCATCAGCCCTTCCCCGCAGGCACACGCCGCCTGGCTGGAGGAGGTCCAGCGAGCTCGCGGGTCCCTCTCACACAGCCCGGGAGGTGCCGCGGTTCACACAATCGAAACCTGCCGATGCCACGCCCCTCCCCCCACGCGCCAGCCCTGAGCATCCTGGGAGGTGTCGGTAAACCTGTCGTGTGACCTGTGTCCCCGTGGCAGGTGTACCCACGAGGCCACATCTGCCCACGTGGGGCGCTCATGCCAGGGCAGCAGGTACGCTCCCCGCCATGCCGTCCGGACCCCTGCGGCAGCACCAGGCCCCGTAGCACAGGGAGTGGAAGACCCCAGGACAAGCTGCAGCCTTGTGAGAGCGCTCCCCGGTTCCGTTCCCCCCTCTCCTCCCCCGTGCTGGGCTGCTTCTGGGAGGGGGGCAGGGAGGGTTATGCTACATGTAGACAGAAGGCTTTCCATCCCTCTATCACGTGACCACTGCTACGAACCGTATCGCAGCCCTATCCCCAACCCCACCCTCAGGCTGGCCCATCCCATAGCAAAGCAGAGATTGATTTATCTGGGCCGTGAACCCACCAAAGTGTCAACACTCACCACCAGGACAGTGGTAACCAACAGAACGACCCACGTATTTCATGGGGGAAGAATCGGACCTAAAACAAGGTTGCTATAGCTGTCAAGCCCTGTGGGCGGCCCATCCTGTCTAATGAGCAGTTCGCCTGTGTTCCTAACTTCCTGAGCAGACAGAGAGATGTGGCTGTTTATCACAGAGTTATAAGGATGGTGTGAAAACCCGTAGCCAGAACGTTCTCTTCCTATATTTTTTTCTCGAACGTACTTGCCTAGATTGTCACAACTACCTCCACCGATAGAAGGAATGCTGAAGGTTTTTCTAATCTTGCTTTTCTGAAAATTCTTAAGAAAGAGAGCGCTTTAGGGAAAACACACACACGCACGCACGCGCACACGCACACTGGCGATCGCGCCCTGTCCCTACACAGCGCCGGGCGGAGCTTTCGCGTCGTTACCTCTGCGTTGGACTCCTCCACCCTACACTTCAGCCGCTCTGGCTGTACCGCCATGGTCTTCCAGCTGGGCCTTAGGTGACTCTGGAGAAGCCAGGCTGCCCCCTTTGTGACATAGCAGCTGTAGAAACAATCCGATCAGAAGAACCCACCGAGGAAACGGCCCCTTAGCAGGAGGGGCCTTGAGAATCCGCAGCCCATCAAGACTCCATCCAGCCACTGGCCTCTGTTCTGAGCCCCTCACAACCGCCCCCCTCACACTGCGTATGTCTGGTACACTGCAGGCCTTAACTCTCTCGACACCTCCAGACGGCCCTGTACCCCTTTGTCTGTGTACTGGGTTCTTTCCTCATGGATTCCGTCACATGCGTTTGATTCCAAGCCCCAGTTCTAATTCTCCAGAAATCCGGGGTGGCTGCCCGACAAGTACCAGCAGATCTAATTTTGAGAAGATTGGCTTACTTCAGACTGTCACAGAAACTTCATGTGTTAGGACTAGAAGGTCTTAACCAAGTCACCTAACCCGCCCTCCTCACTTGAAGGAACAAGGAACCCAAGGCCACGAGTGGCTAAGAGACCTCCCACAGCTGCGTGGCAGCTGACCCACAGCTAGAATCGAAGTCTCGACTATTCTGCTTGTCCTGCACCATCTCGCCGGAGTTTCGAAAGAGGGTCGTTCTGGCTAAAAGTGGTCGGCGACATCCTCCCAGGGTTCTCCCTACCTGAGGCAGCACCACATTGATTGGAATGTCTAGGCTTTCAGATCTGGTATCTTTTTTTCTTGTAAAATGTGGCCTCGAGTGCTGTGGAAAAGAGAAAATAAGATGTCTGCTTCCCAGCCCGACCTCTGGAGCTCAGCTCATCTTCCTCCTCACGCACCCCCTCTTGTCAATTAGGTACATTATGGAAAATCTGAGTCTCGAGGAACGGGAAGACGGTATCTGATAAAGGGCTTTATCAATGTCTGCACAGAAATTAAGATAGCTATTGTAGTCGATGCCCAAGCCTTTGGAGCAGAGACAGCTACGCCCACTATCTCTTCCGAGGTTATTATTTCTATCTCAAGTAAAAAGCCATACCAATGTTAGATGCCAGGTATAGGTCCTATGCAGAAGTTGGTCACCAAAACACTCAGAACATTCCAGAGGTGACATCACAGAACAATATGGTGTTTTTCAGGGTTCATGGTCTCTCTCTCTGAGCATCTCAGGCGGGAATGAGGCATCTGTCAGTCAGGAAAATCTCACCTTGGCATGTCCACATGGCTGGTCAGGGTCACTGTGACACACAATAGCCCCAATGCTGACTCCCCGTTTGACCATCTGGCTGCCGTCCACATGCCCCCTGCCAGGCCGGGCTGAGACCCCCATGCTCTCTCCCCAGGTGGCGTCTTTTGCTTGGAGTTGGACCACTCAAGAGGAAAGAAGCATGAACTGAACTCTTTCAGACCAAGAGAAGAAACGCAGGCTGAGATTTTTCTCACATCGACCATTTCTCTAATTCTCTGACGCCAGTTAGACATCCTGCAATTCAGTCCAACCTAACGCACCGACCTAGAGTTAGTTGGTGGCAGATCCCGAGTTAAAGGGCTCAGTCCCCCGAGACTGCCCCACCCCGTTAGATGCTGGTCTCAGGTCCTGGGCCATCACTACCTCTGACCTGCTCTGTCGGCGGTTCCCACAACCCTCTCCTCGGGTTTGCCATTTGAAAGAACAGCTCACGGAGCTCACGAAAGCGCCGTACTCACAGTTTTTTTTTTATAAAAGATACAGCTCGGGAACGGCCAAATGGAAGAGCTGCTTAGGGCGGGATGTGGGGGGAGAGGGAGCGGGGTGCAGAGCTTCCGTGCCCCACCCACACATCTCCCTCCCAGCAAGTCCATGTGTTCACCCCGAAACTCTCCAAACCCTCCCATTCAAGAGCTTTGGATGGTGGTTTCGCTACATGGTCACGATTGATTAAATCATTGGCCTTTGGTGATTGGACATTTCCGCCTTCCCTTCCCAGAGGTGGAGGGGTGGGAGCTGGGAGTTCCAGCCCTCTGACCACCTGATTGGTTCATCTGGTAACCAGCCCCCATCTGGAAGCTATCTGGGGGCCCCACCCAGTGACCTCATTAGCATAAACAGGGTGTGCTCCAAGGGGACTCCTTATGAATAATAAAAGACACATATATCGTTCAGGACATTTTAAGGATTTCAGGAACTCTGTGCCGGGAACTAGGGACCGAAACTAAATATATATTTTTATTTTACCATATTAAACACTACATCAAGACCTCCCCTCCTGAGGCCACATGTGACGTCTGGGCTTCGTGAAAGGCACAGCTCAACTCTTCACAGTTGCTATTTCACCTAATCAGAGTCACTGGCATGTGGCAGGTCCTGCCATCCATGGGATGCAGCCCAGCCATGGGGTCCCTAAGCCCATGGCTCTGGCCCATCTCAGCAGGTCAGATTGAGCCCACCCTCCCGCAGAACGTGCCTCCAGGGCCAAAGAACACAAGCTCCACCCTGCGACGCTCCCCGTGGAGGAAGGAATCTGCTAGTAAGCCCGACAGATCTTATGACTACTGTATAGATCACATATCACTCAGATTTGTCATTATTTACATTGTTATTTTGCCTGCTCTTAGTCCCCTGCCTTCTCCACACTTCTGGCCATCTGGCACCTTGGTCCCTCCACATTTTTGGCCATCTTTACTCCAGTCCCGTCCTGAGGCCATATCCGAAGAAATAAACATCCTCCCTCATTTACGTTCCTTCGTGGTTTTCTAGTGTCACCCCGAAGTTAGAGCCATGGTGCCGCGGGGAGCTTATGGCACAGCTCATTCGTTCCTGGAAAGGAAGTCTTACTACCGGATGATGGCAAAAACTCCCAGCGTCCGGGTGACAGCGCAAATCATTGCTTTCCCCGCTGCGGCACCAACGGGTCCAGCATCGTCCTCCAATGGGCGTCCAGCGTCCATCCCTTGGGGGGCTCCCTCCTTCCTCGCCTCTGCCACAATCTTGGGCCTTTTTCTTCTCAGAGGCCTGGCTCCAGGGGGAGGGGCAGCCACCACATCTGTGGCTGACAGAGATGACGCTCACAGGGTAACGGTGACTCATTACCCACCGTTACATGATCGAAGTCCCTCCCTCACCCCCTGTCCTGCAAGGGGGGTGTGCTGGGGAAGGAAAGAAAGTGATGGACAAACGGAGCGACCTGACACATTAGCATGAAAAGAACTTCTCCTGAACCCAAAGGGAGGGCACTGATAAGAATGAATGCGGTTACGGAGAGCAAGGTCATGGTCACTGGCGGCAGCAGACCTGTGTGCAAATCTGGAGGCCGAGAAATAGTTACTATGTGTCGTCATCAGCTCAGGCCGCCATAACGAAGTACTACAGACTAAGTGACTTAAACAACAGATGTTTATTTCTCACAGTTCTAGAGGCTGGAAGTCCAAGATCAAGGAGCCGGAAGATTTGGTTCCTAACGAGACCCACTTCCTGGCTTGCAGAAGGCCACCCTCTTGCTGTGTCCTTACATGGCAGAAAGAGAGTTCTGGTCCCTTTTCCTCTTTTATAAGGACACTAACCTCATCTGTAAGACTCCATCTAAACCTGATCGCCTCCGAATGGCCAAACCTCCAAATACCATCTCACTGCAGACTAGGTCGCCAACATACGAATTTTGGAGGGGCACAAACATTCAGTCGATAGCACTGCGTGACTTGGGCAAGTCACCCCACCTCTCAGAGGCTCAGTTTCCTTATCTCCAAAATGAGAAAACTGTGTCTAATTTGAGATAACTTAGGGGGGAAAGCCAACACTCAGCAAGCTCTCAATAAATAACCATTGTTTGGATGCCCTTATATAAAATTGCCTTGTTCTCTTTGACTTAATATCCCAAGCAGCTGCCACACAACTGGTGCTCTATTAAGAAAAACGATGCTCCTTGTGTGAGGGCTTGTTTGTGTGCTTGTCCGATTAATTTCTGCTTTTAAGGGAGGAGCCTTTTAAGCTGGGCCGTCCTGGTACCGGCACCTGCCTGTTGGCTGGGTTCCTTCCTCCTCCGCAGCTCACGTGCATCCATCACTGGGCACCGAGAAGCTTCTTGAGATTTCACCCAAATGCCTATTATTACTCAGATTAACATCATCATCAGTCATCCACGTTCCCTGAGCATCCGCGATCCGTGGGCGCTATGCGGAGCCCGGAGGCAGACATGCCTCGTGGGTTTCTAATCTAAACAGACAGGTAGAGCAGAGACAAAGGAGAGCAAGCATGCATCTGAGATGCTCCAGGTTTCCCTCGCCTGTGGCTGTCTGATGATGCATCACAGGGAAAACTCAACAAGCAGGAGGGTCCATTAGAGGGTACAGGGCCTCCTGCTTACCCCAGAGAGTCACAGAAACTGTAGCTCCTGGTCCAGGCGTCAGAGGGGGTGTCGGGTGGGGCGTACGTTCTGACCTTTCTCTTCTTCTCATTCGTTAAGGGAAAGGGAAGTTGTGTGGATGGCGTAGAGCATCATGAGGTCGGTCATCTCCCACTTCTTTGAAGTATTTGGGAACCTTCATT